TCCTCCTCCTCCTCCTCCTTCTTCATCCTCTTCCTCCACCTCCTCCTCCTCCTCCTCCTTCATCCTCCTCCTCCTTCTCCTCCTTCACCCTCCTTCATCCCTCCTCCGTCACCCTCGGGGGAAGGAGGAGGAAGAGGAGGAGGAGGAGGAGGAGGATGAAGGAGGAGGAGGAGGAGGAGGAGGAGGAGTAAGTCGGGCGTGTCCCTCTGCAGGAGGAATATTCAAAAATAGTCAAAAAAATAGTCAGGGGACGATTTTTGTCGTTTTCGCTCATGTCTTGAACTTGTTTGGAGTATGTTCTATTTCTCGTCCAAAATCCGCCTGTAGGTGGGGGGGCAGGCCCGACCTAAAATTAGCGACGGGTCCCGTTTCCATGGGACATCGCGGATTTCCGCCGCCGAACGAGGCGTCACCAGCCGCATTTTGGGGAGGAGGGCACCTCCCCGGATCCGTGGATTTGCGCCCCCCGCGCGCCAAATCCATGGATCGTTGAAACATGTTTGCGCGCCCCCGCGAGAAGGCTCGGATTTCTCCCGGAAGGCCAGGGGGGGGCCTCCTGAGCCTCCGGAGAAGGCCCCGCTCTTCTGCCTTCCCCCTTCCCCTCCTCCTCCTCCTCCTCCTGCTCCTCTTCCTCCTCCTCCTCCTCCTCCTCCTCCTCCTCCTCCTCCTCCTCCTCCTCCTCACCCGCCTCCGACGACCGTTCCCCCTCAACACTCCCAGACCCCCGACGTCGAGCCTTTTTCTCACGACGCGGACCCTCAGAGGTCTCGACCCCGTCCCCAGGACCCGCTTTTTGTCCCGAGAGTCGTTGCCGGACGGCCCCGGGGCCCGGCGAGGGGCCGCAGCGGAAAAGCACAGCAAGCAGCCGTCCGGCGTGCTCTCTCCGCGGCGCGTGCTTGCCCGCCTGGGCGCTCCGACGGGTGCTGCGCCGAGCCCCCTGGGCCCCCGAGAGATGCGAGGCCCCCCCCCCCGCCTCGGCGCCTGGTGCGCCCTTCCCAGACCTCCTCGAGTCATGAAAAAATCACGACGGGAGGTTTTTCGCGATTTTCGGCCTCTGAAGGCCCTAACCGGGCCTCGGGACCGTCAGATAACGACTCGGGACGAAAAACAGGTCCCGGGGAATGGGTCTGGGCCTCTGGGGGTCGCGTCATGAAAAAACCATGACGTCGGGGGTCTGGGTTCAGAGCCCCCATGGGGTGCCAGGGATTCCCGGCTCACCCCGATCCGACTTTGCCCCGATCTTTGCCTCCGCTTCCGACGCGCGGAGCCCCCCTCGTCCCACAGGAGCATGTCTCTTCGTTGCTGGGGGCATAACGGGCAGCGTAGCCCCCGGCCCCCTTAACCCACCTTAAACGCCTCCACCTTTAACGTAACGCCCCCCCTCGCCCCACCCTTTAACGTAACGCCCCACCCTTAAATAGAGCGCGGAGCCTCCCTCGCCCCGCCTTTCACGCAACGCCCCCCTCCCACCCACCCCCGGTCCGCTCCTGGCACTGCCGCCGTGCGCACGGCGGGGGGAGGCGTTGCATTATACCCCTCCCTGGCCCCTCCCCCCCCCCTTGTCATGCCCATGATTCAGGAGGGGAGAAACACACAGACACAATGAATCGTCGATTCCCCAGAACATATGCGAAACTATGGGAAGTGGGGGGGGGGGGGGGAAGACAGAAACCCCGAACAGATGGGAACCTATGGGGGATCCTTTGAGTTGTGTGTATTTATTTGCGTGTCCCAGGGCCCCTTCAAGTATCGCCGAAAGTAGAGAAGCGCGCTCCAGGCGCACCCCCTCGGCGCACCCGAGAGGTGCGAGGGCTGCCAGCACGTCTTCACCGCGGAGGGCGAGCCCGGGCTCGCCGAGGCCGCGAGGCACGTGGTGGAGGCCCCCCTCTGGGATCACGTCGGGCACGTCCCTCTTCGGGAGGAATGTTCAAGAATAGTCAAATTATCCCGGCAAAGCAACCTAACAGCGATATGTAGGAGCATATCTGGAAGCATTCCCCTTAATATTAAGATGCGAATCCAGTTGTAGAATTCTGCTGTTCTCGCAGTCGTAGTCGCATTCGCGATAACAGTCGCAGTGGCAACGGCAGTCGCAGTCACAGCCTCAGCCTCAGCCGGCCTCAGCCTCAGCCTCAGCCTGCTTCAGCCTCAGCCTGCCCCAGCCTCAGCCTCAGCCTGCTTCAGCCTCAGCCCCAGTCTGCCTTCAGCCTCGGCCTCAGCCTCAGGCTGCCTCAGCCTCACCCTGCATCAGCCTCAGCCTCAGCCTCAGCCTGCCTCAGCCTCAGCCTGCCTCAGCCTCAGCCTCAGCCTGCCTCTGCCTCAGCTCCGCTGCTTCAGCCTCAAGCTCAGTCTGCCTCAGTCTGCCATCGGCCTATGCCTCAGCCTCGCCTGATAGCGTCAGCCCTGCTCAGCCTCAGCCTCAGCCTCAGCCATGCCTCAGCATCAGCCTGCCTCAGCCTCAGCCTCAGCCTGCCTCTGCCTCAGCCTCAGCCTGCTTCAGCCTCAGCCTCAGTCTGCCTTCAGCCTCGGCCTCAGCCTCAGCCGGCCTCAGCCTCAGCCTGCATCAGCCTCAGCCTCAGCCTCAGCCTGCCTCAGCATCAGCCTGCCTCAGCCTCAGCCTCAGCCTGCCTCAGCCTCAGCCTCAGCCTGCTTCAGCCTGCTGAGCTCAGCCTAGGTTTGCCTTCGCTCGTCCTGCTCAGTCTGCCTCAGCTCAGCCTCATCCGGCTCTCAGCCTCAGCCTTCAGCCTGCCTCATATTAGTCTTCCTCAGGCTCGGCCTCAGCCTGCTCAGCCTCTAGCCTCTCAGCTGTTAGCTCGCAATCAGTCTGCATTAGCCTCCGGCCTCGCCTCCGCGAGCCTCAGACTCAGCCTGCTTCAGCCTCGCCTCAGCCAAATGCTCAGCCTCAGCCTCAGCCTGCCTCAGCCTCAGCCTGCCTCAGCCTCAGCATCGGCCTGCTTCTGCCTCAGCCTCAGTCTGCCTTAGCCTCGGCCTCAGCCTCAGCCTGCCTCAGCCTCAGCCTGCATCAGCCTCAGCCTCAGCCTCAGCCTGCATCAGCATCATCCTGCCTCAGCCTCAGCCTCAGCCTGCCTCAGCCTCAGCCTCAGCCTGCTTCAGCCTCAGCCTCAGCCTGGCTTCAGCCTCGGCCTCAGCCTCAGCCTGCCTCAGCCTCAGCCTGCATCAGCCTCAGCCTCAGCCTCAGCCTGCCTCAGCATCAGCCTGCCTCAGCCTCAGCCTCAGCCTGACTCAGCCTCAGCCTCAGCCTGCTTCAGCCTCAGCCTCAGTCTGCCTTCAGCCTCGGCCTCAGCCTCAGCCTGCCTCAGCCTCAGCTTGCATCAGCCTCAGCCTCAGCCTCAGCATGCCTCAGCATCAGCCTGCTTCAGCCTCAGCCTCAGCCTTCCTCAGCCTCAGCCTTGCTTCAGCCTAGCTCTGCCTGCTTCGCCTCAGCCTCATGGCTTCAGCCTCGGCCTCAGCCTCAGCCCTGCCTCAGCCTGAGCTCAGGCCTTCTGCTTCAGGCCTAGCCTCCAGCCTGCTTCAGTCAGCTAGCAGCTTCGCTCCGGCCCTCAGCTTTCTCACGCCTCTTGCCTCAGCCTCAGCCTGCCTCAGCCTCAGCATCCGCCTGCCTCAGCATTCAAAATGTGGCCCGGGAATGGAGTTCTGGGAACTCGAAGAACACGAAGTGGCCTACAGTTGGCTCCGGGCATTCAAAATCATGCCCAGGAATGGTGTTTTGGGAACACGAAGAACACGAAGTGGCCTACAGTTGGCTCCGGGCATTCAAAATGTGGCCCGGGAATGGTGTTCTGGGAACACGAAGAACACGAGACCACGAAGTGGCTACAGTTGGATCCGCGGGCATCATTCATGACAATGTGGCTCCGGGGAATGGGGTTTCTGGGATGTCGATGAGCACGAAGTGGCTACAGTTGGCTTCTGGGCATTCAAATGTGGCCCGGGAAATTGGGATAAGTTAGTTACTGGGAAAGTGAAGAGAACGAAGGTGGCTACAGTTGGCCTCAGGCCATAGAATGTGGCCGTGGGGGAAGGAGTTAGTAGTTCTGGGAGGTCGAAGAGCACGAAGTGTTTGACTGTTTGCGAAAAGCGCATTCGGACACGAGTTCGGACACAGCTCCCCGGATGCCGCCCCGACCCCCCTGTGGAGTCATCTGCTGCTCTCTTTTGACCCCACTAGAAACCTATCAGCAAAAGCTGTTAGGTAAAAATAGTCAGGGGACGACTTTTGTCGTTTTCGCACATGTCTTGAGTGTGTTTCGAGTATGTTCTATTTCTCGTCCCAAATCCGCCTGTAGGGGGGACAGGCCCGACCTAAAGTTAGCGACGGGTCCCGTTTCCATGGGACATCGCGGATTTCCGCCGCCGAACGAGGCGTCACCAGCCGCATTTGGGCGTCACCGACCTCTACTGGAGGAATGTTCAAACATAGACAAACAACAGTCTGAGGACGACTTTTTGACAAGTTCTGGATATTCTTAAGTATTTTCGTTTTTTATTGTTTTTATTTTCGCCCAAAATCCGCCTGTAGGGGGACATGCTCGACCGAACTCTATGATTCCAACAATGAGCGACGCGAGAAAGGAGGGTTCGACTGCGCCGACGTTGGCGCGCAAGCTGCCCGCGGGAGGTCGCGCGCGAGCGCCCTCGCTTCCAGCGTGGCGTGCCGCGCTGGCGGCCCGCGGGAGCCGCCGCCGCAGAGTCGCTGTGCCATCTCGCGTAAAGACCCGTTGTTTTGATCGTCGCCCGAGTGAGGTTCGAGTAATTCGACGGGGTCCGAAGCTCGTGCCGGATCGGGGGCCGTGCCGTGCGTCGCTTCCACGCCCGGGGGCTCCGAGCAGTCACCCTTGGGCACGACGGCGGGCATCCAACCAAGTGGAGGAGGAGGAGGAGGAGGAGGAGGAGGAGGAGGGGAGGGAGAGGAGGAGGGGGAGGAGGATGAGGAGGAGGAGTGAGGGGGGAGGAGGAGGAGGAGGCGGGCGGAGGGGGGGAGGAGGAGGGGGAGGGGGCGGAGGAGGATGAGGCGGCGGAGGAGGAGGAGGAGGAGGAGGAGGAGGAGGAGGAGGAGGAGGAGGAGGAGGCGGTCACAGTGGCGGCAGTGGCGTCAATTGCTCCCGCGGAGGAGTGTCCGTGGGGGGGGGCCTCCCGCCGCCCTCCGCAGGCCAGGGGGTGCCCCCGAGGCGCCCTCGCAGGGCCGAGGGCCGCGGATCCACGCTGCTCGGGCCGCCCAGCGGGCCCTGCTTGGGCCCCCCGGGGGCCTCGCGGGGGGGGCAGTCGCCGGGGCTCGCCGCTCGGCAGTCGCCGCCCTCGCCGACGCAGTCGCAGTCGCCGTCGCCGCCGCCGCCGACGCCGTCGTCGTTGCCGTCGTCGTCGTCGTCGTCGTCGTCGTCGTCGTCGTCGTCGTCGTCGTCGAGGACAACGGGTACTCTGACAAGATCACCGTCCTGCCCGCCCTGTCCACCGAGCTGCAGGTGGGCTACGCCTGCCGCGCGGAGGACCAGAGGCGCTCGATCCCCTGCCGGGCAGACGTCCTGGTCGCAGAGATCTTTGACACCGGCCTGGTCGGGGAGGGCGTCCTTCCCAGCTCGGGGGGTGGGCGAAAGGGGAGTATCCCAGACTGACAGCGTCCTGAAGGGTGTCAGGGCGGGGGTGGGGGCGAGTGAGGGTGAGGAAGGAAGGGAAGGGAGAAGGAAGAGGAGGAGGTGGGGTGGGGGATGGAGGAGGAGGGGGGGAGGAGAGGAGGAGGGGTGAGGAGGGGAGGAGGAGGAGGAGGAGAATGGGAGGTGGAGGAGGAGGAGGAGGAGGGGAAGGAGGGGGAGGAGGAGGAGGAGGCGGAGGAGGAGGAGGCGGAGGAGGAGGAGGAGGAGGAGGAGGAGGAGGAGGAGGTGGTGGAGGAGAAGGAGGAGGAGGAGGAGGAGGAGGGGGAATGGTCTGGGATGTGAAATTGGCCCTGGGGAGGGGGTCGGGGCTCCTGGGGTCCCACGCTGGGAAGAGTGACCACGACGTCGGGGTCCTGGAGTTGAGGAAAGAAGCGACGACCATGACCAAGAGGTGTCGCGTGGTCTTGTCGACGCCGATCCTGTAGTCATGGTCCACGCCGGCCGTCGCCGATGTGCGAGGACGACCCACGAATTGACGATGACCAAAGTCGACGATGATTCATGTCAACATCCATGTGATTTACTCGTGATCGAACCACCCCAACCCGACTCGAAGACCACCCTAAAAAAACATAATTTCAGATGGCGGGGTACGCGGAACTGGTGCAATGTTACAACGTTCCGGAGAGCACCCCCATTGACAATCTCATTCCGAGATGGCCCGTGCACCCCCCCTGAATCCGACCTTCCTTCCGGCCTTCGTGTATGTACGTAGCGTTGGGGTGGTTTTGTAGTGGATCAGTTTCCGCGTTCAGTCTTGGCCATGGGTCATCGTTTTCTGTCCCCCCGATACGGTGGGGGCCTTGGGTAAGGAACGTGCCCAGGAGGCTTCAGCCCCTGGGGGATTCCCTGTCTGACGAGGGCGGCGGTAAAAGATCCATGACCAATCCACGACTGGAGTTTTACCGTCTTCCAGACCCTGGATTCCTTGTCCAATGGTTCCTTACTCCATGCCCTCGCCGTAGCCAGTAGGTTTAAGTCGGGCCTGTCCCTCTACAGGAGGAGTGTTCAAAAATAGTCAAATGGGGACGATTGTTTGAGTATTTAATCGCTTCGCTCATTCCGCCGGCCCATACAGTCTCATGTCTGCCGTTTGCCCGAGGGCCTGGTGTCAATGCGGCGCTTTGGGGGTTCCTGGGGCCGCTTGGGGGACTCCTGGGGCGCTCGGGGGGGCATTTGGGGGGGGGGCCTCCTGGGGCCGCTTGGGGGACTCTTGGGGGCCTCCTGAGGGCCCCGTGGGGGCCTCTTGGGGCCTCTTAGGGGCCTCGTAGGGGCTTCTTAGGGCCGAGGGCTCGAAATGTTGTTTCGTGTTCCCTCTCTGGGGCCCCTTTGGGGGCGTTCTTGGGGCCCTCTTGGACCGTCTTGGAGGCTTCTTGGGCCGTCTTCGAGCCCTCTTGGGACATCTTGGGGCCCTCTTGGGGGCCTCTTGGGCCCTCTTGGGGCGATCTTGGGGGCCTCTTGGGCCGTCTTGGGGCGTCGGGAAGCCGAAAAGGTGGAAGCTCCAAAATCTCTCAAAAACCTAAGGAAAAGCAATGAATTTTGCCTCCGGGGGCCCTCTTGGGAGTGCTCTTAGAGGCCTCTTGGGGCGTCTGGGGGCTATCTTGGGCGTCTTGGAGCGATCTTGTGGCATGTCGGACCCCTCGTGTACCATCTTGGGGGCCTCTTGGGGGCCTCTTGGCCTTTCTTGGGGCTCTCGGGGACGTCTCGGAGCCCTGTTGGTGCGCTCATGGGGCGCTCTGGTGGAGTCGCCCGGGGATCAGCCGAGTCGCCCGGGGTACTTTTCGTCCGGGGACCCCCAGGGGCCGCCCCGCGCGCGCGAACTAGAGAATTGTTAACCAGTTACCGGAGATCTTAGCACGCCTCTGGCCCGTTGGGCCGGCGATTTTTTTGTCATTTTTGCATATTTGTTGACTATTCTTGATTGTTTCTTCGAAAATCCCACTGTAGGGGGAACAGGCCCGACTTAACAATAGGCGGGAGACTGGGGGGGGGCGCGAACCATGCTGGATGCGGCTGGCGTCGGCCCCGCCGCCCGGGCCACGCTTCTCGGTGCACGGGGCCGCTCCCGGCTCTGGAGGTCGCCCCGAACCACCAGCGGGGTGCGGCGGTGAGTTTGCGAACCTCCGCCCCCGCTGGCGCCGCAACCCCTCGTGCCGCGAAGGGGTCGCGACGGGAGGTTTTTGCGGCCGTTTTCGGCCCCTGCCCCCAGGACAGTCCCAGAACGACTCGGGATGAAAAGCCGGTCCCGAGCGCAGTGGTCCAATGAGACCTCCAGGGGTCCACGTTTGTCGATTGAAAACGACCCAGGATTCAAAGCCGGTCCCATGGGGAAGTGGTCTAGACCTCCGGCTGGTCCACGCTGCGACCAAGTCCCCAGACGTGCGACGCCCTGCTTTTTTCAGGACGGCCTCCCCGCAAGTCCCGGCCCTTCCTTCCCCGGGGCCGGCTTTTCCTCCTGCGCCGTTTTTGGACGGTCCCGAGGCCCGGCGAGGGCCCCCCGGGGCCGAAAATAGCCAAAAACCTCCCGTCCTGTTTTCTTTTACGACGCGATCATGTCTGGGAACAGAGGTGGGGAGGAGGGAGGAGGAGGGACGAGGGGCCCGAGGAGGCCGAAAATAGCCAAAACCTTCCCGTCTTTTTTTTTTTACGACGCGACCATGGCTGGGCCTCGAGGGTCAGAGGTCTCGGGACCGCCCCCGTCGTCCACCCCGGCCAGCTTCGTCGACGCCCACCGGAGGCTGCGCAGGGGGGGGGGGGGCCGCGTCGGGGAGGCCTCGCCGCGCGAGGGCGGCCCCGCGCCGCGCGGGCGCCGCGCGGGTGCTCAGAGATGCCGACGTCTCCCCCAGAGATCCGACGCATTGCACAAGTCAAGACGGAGGTGTTTCGAAATTTTCGGCCACGTATGGAACAAAAATCAGGACGGAGGTGTTCCTAGACTTTCGGCCTCTCTAGCGGCCCTCGCCGGGCCCCGGGACCGTCGAAAACCTTGATGGTCCGCTACCGAAAATTTCCGGTAGCGCTCCACAGAGATCGGTCGCTACCGAAATACCGAAATGTAGCGCCCAATACCGGTATCAGAGCGTCCTGAAATCCGCTATTTCAACGCCCTCAAACGAAGATCCGGTCGCTACCGAAATTCGGGGTGCGTCGAAATCGCTACCGAAAATTTCCGGTACCAGACCATCTGGGAAAGGACTGCGAGATGAAAAGCCGGTCCTGGGGAACGGGCCGCGACTTCCGGGGGCCCCGCAGTGGAACAAAGGTCACGGCCTCGGATCCCCGGGGCCCCTTGCCCCGAGGGCCGGCTGCTCACCCCGGGGGTCGACGTTTGGCGGGGAGGGCCCCCAGAGGCCGAACGCCTTTCTGCGTCACTTGATTTCTCGACGACGGGGAGAGGTGGTGGGAAAACACAAAAAACACACCAAAAAACACAAAACAAACAAAAAAACACAAAAAAGCACAAAACAAACAAAAAAAACACAAAAAAAAACACAAAAAACAATAAGAACGCAAGAGTGCATCCGTAGGATCGTGATCGCGCGTCGGCGGCCCAGCCGCGAGGGCACGGATCCATGGGCCCAGACGGCATTGTCGTGCTGCTTCCCATCCGCGGCGCGAGAGCTCCCGGCCCCTTCCCCAGGGCAAGTTTGCTCGCCCCGGATCCGCGAGGGCCCCGGGGCCCCGAAATCGAGGGACAATTCGCCTGCAACTCAAAACAAGGCACCCCTCTGCAGCGAAATCGCTTCTACAGGGCGACGATCTGGCTGCGGACGCGTGGGCAACAGACCATTGTAAAATTGCACTGCTTTTTGCGCACGATTTGGTTACGCGCGCTTGTCTTCTAGGGTTATGATGTTCCCACCTATTTTAGCATTGATCACCAGAAAAAGAATTTCGAGCGCCAGAAAGGAATCCAAAAACTCGATGGTTTTCACGTGCCGGGCCCTGGGAAACACTGTTTCCACATTCTTTCGACACCCTTTCGACTCTTCTCTGGGTGCTCGAAATTACTTCTGGGATGCGGTCCCTAAGTAGGATGGGAGCAACGTACGACCCAGACCCCCGACGTCACGATCTTTTCATGACGTCGACCCCCAGAGGTCCAGACCCATTCCCCGGGACCGGTTTTTCGTCCCGAGTCGTTTTTTGGCGGTCCCGAGGCCCGGCACGGGCCCTCAGAGGCCGAAAATGGTGAAAAACCTCCCGCCCTGATTTTTTCATTCCTCGAGGGGGTCTGGGGCTCGCCGGCCGCCCGCGGAAGGCTGCTGCGGCCCGGCGCCCGGGTGGTGCCACACCGCGGGCGCGTCTACGCCGCCGGCTTCCGCTCCGAGTTCCTCCGGTCGCTGGACGTCCTCGAGTCGCCGTCCTTCGACCCGATCGCCGGGCCCCACAGGCATCGAGGAACGAAGATGCACGAATCAGGAGGAAAAGAAACACACAGACACAATTAATCCTCGATTCCCCAGAAAATATGGGAAAATATGGGAAGTGGGGGGGAAGACAAAAACCCAGAAAATATGGGAAAATATGGTGGATCCTTTTATTTGTGTGTGTATTTATTTGTGTGTCCCAGTTCCCCTTCAAAAAAAAAACACCCCATACCCTGGTTTACGAGGCGCTGCGCGCTGAAACTCTTGTGGGCTGACGGGGTAAGCCCTGCGTAGTGTGCGGCGTCCTGGCGTCCTCTAGGCTTTGGGGGTTCCCAGGAGGTTTACAGACCACGCACTTGTAGCCCAGAGTAGGGTCGTTTTTTCATCCCTCAAATGCATTCGCGAGCATCGATGGTCGGCCGAGGTCCGTGCGGATCTGCTGGGTTGGCGCTGGGCCCCCCCCCTTCCATGGCGCGCCAGCGGCGCTGCCAGGGGCGGGGGGGATTCAGCGCCAGTCCCAGGAGTTCCGCGCGTGCCTCCGAAAGTTTGTCTTCACGCAGCTTGAAGAACTGCATTCTTATTCGCATCCTCTATATTCTCCTGATTATTTGTAATATGTGCCATCTTCTTCGAGATAGGGAGGAGGAGGAGGAGGAGGAGGAGGAGGAGGAGCAAGAGGAGGAGCAGCAGGAGCAGGAGCAGGAGCAGGAGGAGGAGGGGGTGCATGGTTTTCCGTTCCGCTGCCCCCGAGGTCCTGACTCTTTTCCCTGGGGTAGTTTCTCACCCCGGGTCCATTTCTGCTGGCCCCAGGGCCTGACAACGGGCCATAGGCCGAAGTTTGAGGACAAACGTCAGGCGGGAGACCTTCTGAGTCCCGACACTTTCCCGAAGCCAGGTCCTCTAATCCCGAGTCGTTGTTCGACGGCCCCGGGGCCCGGCAAGGGCCCCGGGAGATAGAAAACGTCCAGACGGCCGCCCATCGTGTTGTTCATGACCCGAGGGGGCCCGCGGAGGCTAGTCTACCTCCCCCTGGCTCTGCACCCTCCACACCTTCTGACCAGCAGATGGCTGATTTCTGTGATCTCCTCGTGGGGCACAAACTAGCATATAGGTTTGGCCAGCTCCTCGGGGGACTCAGAGTAATTAGCATGAGCAGAAACTGTGGGAGCATCCGGGTGGATCTCTTGGTTCGGCGCTGGACCACCGGGTCCCTGGCGCGGGGAGCGCACCAGTGGCGGCGCCAGAGGCGCCGCCAGGGCCGAACGCCGATCCCCAAAAAATCCACGCGGAGCGCCAGCAGTTCACATTTATGTTTTGGTTTCTCCATCAGTTCACGACCCCGGGGCCTGGAGAGATTGGACGACGACGGCGACGACGACGACGACGACGCCGACGCCGACGCCGACGCCGACGCCGACGCCGACGCCGACGCCGACGCCGACGCCGACGACGACGACGACGACGACGACGGCGACGGCGACGACGACGCCGACGCCGACGCCGACGCCGACGCCGACGCCGACGCCGACGCCGACGCCGACGCCGACGCCGACGCCGGCGACGACGACGACGACGATGATGACGACGACGACGACGACGACGACGCCGACGCCGTCGCCGACGCCGACGACGA